ATATATATATATATATATAATATATATATATATATTATTAAATATGACCGAAAAAGTAAGATTAATAATTCTAAAACGAATTTTCTCAATATTTCTTATGTTTCTTTTCACTGCCGATGGTAATTGAAAAATCAATTCTCCAAAATTCATTTTTATTTCTAGTCTGACTAGAAATTTCTTTTCTCCCAGACTAGAAATAAAAATGAATTTTGGAGAATTGATTTTTCAATTACCATCGGCAGTGAAAAGAAACATAAGAGATATTGAGAAAATTCCTTTTAGAATTATTAATCTTACTTTTTCGGTCATATTTAATAATATATGTTTACAAGAAAGACTGCTACCAAAATATACTAATATATATAATATATAAAATATATAATATTATATATAAATATATATATATATATATATACAGTATATATATATATATATATATACACAAAGGTATGTACCATATAAATATTTTTATCATAAATATCCCAAGTAATAATGCTACTAGGCCTAACACATTTATTTTCTGACATTTCACCAACTACTGTACATAGAAAATACAAGTGCCAATGTATTCTGTACCTATTTTCCTTAGCTTGTGGTTGCTGTAAAACAAGCGAGGTATCCATCTTTATGTGATCATCATACAAACCCCGTATAGTATTAACCTACAGTGTTTATAAGACTTGAACACTGGTAAATGAGGATAATTATATTTTTTGTCACAAATTAAATATAAAGAGGAGCTCTAAAGTTTATATCGAGCAGTTAATTTTAACAGCTCCAATAAAATGAAACTGGACTGAAGGCGTATATCTACCACTCACTTCAGTAACAATAACAAAATAATTGCCAAAACTGACAGAGAATTATGTCTTGTATGCCACAAAGTAGACTTTAGGAGGCATGGCAAAGGGAAACACGAGCAGTAAACCAACTTCTCCAAACATGCAATTACCTCACATTAATAATGACTGTACATTAATACTATCCTGTACATTAAGTCATTGTAATGTCTTCTCATGGACATAACACGGGATAAAAACCCTCACTTATGTATTTATTAATTTTATGTAAAAGTCTTTCGCACTCTCCCGAGTTCTTTGTCAAGGTCCAACCGTCCGAGTATGTGGGTAGGACTAGACTTGCATCTCAACGACTAATGTGGCTGCTACACTGGATCCGATCCTCTTAGCAATATCAATCAATCAATAGACCTTGGTGACAAAGCAGTCAGGAGTGTTTCATATTTATTTAGTAGTCCTGGATACAGCAGTGTCGTAGACGTTGAGACGAAGCCTGGAGCACAGCAGAGAGCTAGTGTGTGAAAGAGTTTATGTAAATTTTTACATAAAATTCTCAAATACCGTATATACGTGTGGGGTTTTTATCCTACAAACCGTACATTAATTGTAAATGGCAAAGGATGGACTGTAAACACATGAATTTGCAATGTCCTTAAATGCACAAGATATACTGTACATATATATATGCTGTGTATTATACCAGAGATATTACAACAGAGATGTGAACAGTGATGAACAGAACAGAGTTTCCAGTGAACAGAGATGTTCACTGGAAAAAAAATAAAACCATGATTCAAGCAAGGCAAACACCACTGCAACTCACTCCTAAATCTTTCCAATTATGAAAATAATAATAATATTACTGTACTGTAAAAGCATTCAAAACAATTTAATTACACTATTACTTTTACTCCAGTTTTTGTATCAGTATTAAATTTTTCATTATAAGGACCTTTAACTTTAGGAATCATAGACAAATAATCTTTTGCATTTCCTGAACACCCAATAACGTACACAATTTAGACACCAAGAATTTATCTTTCTGTGGTCAAGCGTACCTTATCTGACCACTACACATGAGCATGCATACACAGGACATTCACCAATCAACTTTTGGGGTCCAACATACCTGCACCTGCCATGTTATGCTTTACATAGGAAAATATATCGGAATTAGACTTCTATACACATCATATACAGTACTTATAAAACTTTATTCACCACTTTTTTACCCTTTTAAATATTGCAGAATCAAACAGGTAAAAACCATAATACACAATTTTTCCCATAAACTCTTGTGTTTTATCTCAAACAAAACAGTAAATGCTGCTGCTTGCATATTTTTATTACAACTAAACCAATATATCTTTTATGAAGTCATTAATAGCATTTTAAAAACATTAACAAAATGGTCCACACCAAAGGTCAGGTGTAATACAAACAAGGAGCAACAATTTCAAGTTCAACAAGCTAAAATGTAGGACTGAGAATAGGAGATGCTTTTTCACCCACAGGGTTATAAACCCATGGGGAACCGCCTATCCGCTGAAGCTGTAAATGCCAAGACTCTTGGGTTTTAAGATACAACTGGAAAAGATCATCAAGGCAAATGGGGGGACCTTTGACAAGTCGCTGGCTTCCTTTCCTCATCGAAGCCGCTAGTATTACTGGCCCTCAGAACAAAACTAGTATTAGTGGCCTTCAGGTAAATTCAGGTACAAATTCCTTTACAAAATACAATACAGCATTTATAATTTAAAATACTGTACAGTAAACTCAATCCTAAAAAGGACTAGGCCTACAAAATGATTACAGGTTTGACAGTTTTATGTTTCTCCTTACCAATGCTTTCAAGTTTGGTTAAAGGAAACGTAGGCTGGCAATATGCTGGTAGGGTGGCATGCATTTAGGGTTGACATAATACAATACTAGCATATGCTCACATGCTAACTGCTTTACATCTTGAATAACCCCATAACAAACTAAAGTTTGTTATTTCAGAGTGACCACGAGAAGACTCGGTGGAATATGATGCATTATTAATAAATGAGGAATTTCATCAGGCTGTTTCAAAACCGAAGCTCTTATAGTTATAGTGAAGCATTGCTTCATATATAACTACTGTACTGCCCTCCTGGCAACAAATTTCTGCAACTACTGTTCAGTATTATGTTCCGCCCCTTAGAATTATGTGGTGTTATCTAATGTATTATTGTTTTATGTCTTGTAGCAATGAATACAGGCCACTTCACAAATAAGGCAGTAAAAAAACTTTAAAGCGTTGCCTAACCCAGTTATATATGCATATATTTTTTAATTTATAAGACAACCTTTGTGTGCAATTCATGTGTACAATATGGCAATACACTAAACAAAAACAAAATCCATGTATAAAGATATATGGTGATTATACTGCTAGCAGAGTGATAATCCAATAGCTAGACTAAATATTTCTGCTATTTCTGTGTTATTTAGATTCATAAAAACTTACTTTCTGTCTTTCTGTTATTTACAAGTTACCTGTTTCAAGAGTTAGTTTACTCCTGCAGTTTGGCCAGGCATCAGACATTTTTGATGATCGGTAATGCAGTTGCTGGCAGCTTCCTACAGGCCCATAGCCATCCAACCTAGTGGATTTGGCACTTACTGCAGGAACCTTACCAATTTCTTCTTAAATTTGTTATTTTTTTAATTGCCAGCACTTTTTGCTTTCTGGTTGAAGGTTAAAGAGCAAAGGAACTCCGATACTTGTACAATATAGTCTGATTGTGCTTAACCTATGCTTCCTCTACTCTTCACTAGGTGAAAAAAAAAAAGTTTGTGGTGTATCAAATGCCAGCACTCAATTACCTAAACTTAAAATAAGCTAGCTTGTGTCTAACCTGTACTTTCATAATAAACTGTATGGGCATTTAAATGTATGAGCCCCCAAAATACAACAAAGATATTTGTATATAGTGTATTTGTCCTATTCAGTTTTTATACAACTGTATGAATGTAAGTTGTGTAAATTTATATAGCTGTTAACGTTCAAGTCGACTTCCCTAGCCAATTTATTTTTATTAACACATTTAGATACATCTGCATTTGTGCAACTACCCTAGAATATACGAAGGGGTGTACAGTGTGTCAAAAAACTAGCTACGTGATGCTAAAAATCCCCATCACACAGGATTGTTAGTCATACAGAGGCATGTGATCAGTTGTCTGCACTGGCAGACTCCAGGTGCATTATGAGGATATCATCAACACAAGAGTGAATAAGGCAGCAGTGATACTAAAAGTCCCCATCTCGCAGGATGGTTAATCATACAGGGAAATACGTTTAGTAGCCTGCATTATAAAATTTTGGGTGCAATATGAGGATATCCTCAAGAACACGAGAGTGAATAAAGTAATTGCAAAGATCCAGGTACCACCTACCAGGGGTCTAAATGGTTTAATACCTAGGCATTGGGTGATGTAGTGTGGGAGATCAGGCCGCAGTTCCTGCTCACAGAGTTTGCACCTGCAGTGCTCAGGATTGGGAGATCCGTCACCTGTAGCCACCTGCCACAGGTAACGGTAACCCAACCTGATCCTGGCAACCACTGTGTCGCACAGTCTGGTGGCTGTTTCCTCCTGCCCTAGGTTTTTGCTTTGATGTCCAAAGGGTTTGGAATGGATGGGGGAGGTAGAGGGATGGGGAGGTTGAAATTTTGGAAGACGATATGGGTGTACAGAGAGAGGAGGTTTGAAAGTTCGGTCGCCTGTCCACCATGGGTTCATATATGTGTGTGTCGTTTATTTGGTTATGTGGTATGTTGGGTTGTCAGTACATTTGCTGGGTGGCTAGTGTTTGTGTCCTAACTGGTGTCTGGAAACCCTAAAGCTGTTGGAGTTGGCTACAGGAGATTAATCTTAACATTAGGGTAGTTACTCTTCTAGTACAAATCATACCTTTTTATACTGTTGCTTTCAGGCCGTTGGGAGTCAGTAATGTCTCTCCTATCAGACCTGAGTGTTTGGTACAATATAGTCTTGACATCTGAGATGGGGATGCCTGGGTCTAATTTAACTTTTATCTTTGTTACCTAGCCAAACATTCAAGCAATTACTGTCGAGCCCATCAAATTGCCTTATTCCCGGTTACAATATCTTGTTGTACCGTAACAATCAGTAGTCCATCGCAACTCTGAGGATGGCTATTCAGGTACTCACCTACAGGCATTGTTGTACGGGATCCTTGTCGCCTTCCTTTACAAAATAAGACACAAGTCAGTCGGCCATGTTTACAAGGGCGAACCTGTCGCTTAGTTCCCGTTACTCCCGACGACACACCAAAGAAAACGAACACACCAATCAGAGACATTGTTTTTCTGGTTACTTTTACTTAATCAGTAAAGATTCAGATTCAGATTCAGATTCTTTATTCAGGTAAAGGTACATACATTGCAGATGAGTTACAGACATAATGGTGGATTTAAAGAAAGAGCTAGTACATACAATACCTAAAGCCACTAGTACGCATAGCGTTTCGGGAAAGTTTCAGTCACTTGAACCATTGGAGCCTCGAACTGCCGACCATAAAAACACAGCCCGCAGCTCTACCTACTGAACCACCAACACCCACAAACAGCAGTAAAGTTATTTAAATTTGCTTGTTGCATGCTAAAAAAAAATTGTGCAGTTAATTACATTAAAAGAATTTCGTCTTCACCTATTTATTGTTGTTCACTTTAAAGTAAATAATTATCAAAAGAAGGCACCAAGCCGGGAAGGCTATGGAGCATGTTTACTTTAAAGTGGAAGTGAAGTTATGAATACGGGACGATAGAGGGATGGCCTCCCTCCCTTTCTGCAAGATCGCCATTCGATTCCCCGATGGTCCAAGTACTGTAGTTTAACACAATTCCTTCACCCATTCTCTCAGTCCAGCTCCCTTTTCCCTCCCTCCGTCCCATCCCAAATCCTTATCCTGATCCCTTCCAAGTGCTATAAATTCGTAATGGCTTGGCACTTTCTTCTGATAATTCCAATTCACTCCATCTCCAGCGCACAATCCATTTGTTCATGCGGAGAAAAGGAGGGGATAAGCTGTTTGAGAGCGTTCAGACCTGCCTGAGTGACGTACACACTTCCAGGAAACTGAGGGAGACACGCTACACGAGGGGATTAGCTCATGACCTCAGGGAATATGATGTACTTAACTGCTGTAAACCCTCTCACTAGTGTAATAGGTCTGCTCCCTGGAAAGTACAGAAAATAGACGTCGAAATTGTACCCCTCAAGGTGAAAAAGATTCATCATGAACCGGGACTATTACGGTGTTTGTATGGAAGCATGATATCTCGGTTACCAAGAGGCAACATTTTACATGTATATTGCGACGGGTCGGTGGCGGAGGATGGCAGGGCAGGGTGTGGTGTCCTAATAAGGGAATATACGGAGTTTGGGACTGTGGACAGGATAATTGAACTCCGGCTTAGTAATTATATATCATCCACACAAGCTGAACTGCAGGCCATTCTGGCGTGTTTGGAGGAAGTACGTCATGACGACAAAAATGTTTTTGTATTTGTCGATAGCCGAGGAGCACTGGAGTCCTTAAACAGTCGAAACCCAGTCTTCATGTCTATAGTTGAGGACTGTAAGAGAAGAATAACTGAGATACAGCTGAAAGGTCATGGTGTGAAATTCATGTGGATTCCATCTCATGTTGGAATAGTGCTCAACGAGGTGGTGGATGACTTGGCCAAACGTGCCACATCAAAACCACAAGTTGACATTGAATGTGAATTCACAATGAGACAAATAAGAAGCAAAATCAGAAATATTCAGGCACAGGCGGGAGTGGAGAGGAGAGGGTCCGTCTAATTACCACAAGCTACCACAAACTACACAAACTTCAGAAAGCTTCCTGGCAATACGTTAGTAATGAATAAATATGATATATTAAGTTAGGCTGACCTAACCTAACCTAACCTAACCTATCCTAACCTATCCTAACCTAACCTAACATAACCTAACTTAACCAAACCTAACCTAACCTAACCGAAGCTTGGATCGTCGACTTGATTTGGCGTCACCAGCTTTTTATTTTCGTCTAATTTCTTTATAAAAAGATACTTTTTCAGATTAAAATTATGTTTTTTCGTGTTGTACATTCAGCACCAACATTATAATGAGTAAATATATCATATTTATTCATTACTAACGTATTGCCAGGAAGCTTTCTGAAGTTTGTGTAGTTTGTGGTAGCTTGTGGTAATTAGACGGACCGAGAGGAGAGATATAATGTATGAGAGTAGTCAAACCATGCAACACTACATCAAAACACCCATTTCACTTATGGTAAAAGGAGAAATGCTTGGAGTGACTCTGTGTACATGCGGCTCAGGCTTGGGTACAAATATTACTGGGAATATGGGATAGATGTTCATGATAATGACACGAAGTGTCAACTATGTGGTATGTTAAGGTCTCACACCCTTGCCCATTATGTTCTTAATTGTCCGTTGATTAATGTATATAGAAACACTGAGATAAGGACTGTTCCTGAACAAATAGCCTTGATGTGTCACAACGGAAAGGTTGATGATATTCTGGAGAGATATAAGAATTTTGCACGAAGACTAATTTTTTGTTGAATTATCTGCATGTCTCTTGCAAATTGTCTATACAGTATACCTAGGTCATAAAAGTATGTGTGTGTACGTCTGATACCATACTACTTGTGTAAAGGAGGAAATGTATATGTTTATCTCTCAGAATGTTTGGTAATATGTTTAGTGTTTGTGATGTGTGTCTATGTATGTATTAACACGATGTACTGAACGGGGTGAGAATAGCTTGAGCTACCTCATCCCTTTGTGTGTATTTTACCTCAATAAACTTATTTTAATTTCAATTCAATTTCAAAACCCCCACAAGCACAACTAGGTAAATACAGCAGCTCGACACAGCTTCCAAGGTGGGAGAATGTATTTATCTATGTCAATTCATTTGCTTATTTTTCTATTAACATTAATGTCCGATTATTGTTTTTTTGCGGAAGGTTACCCAGGTCCTAAGATCAATTATATATTGATTTATTTTATTATTTATATATACAAGAGTTTAATGCGTCTGTGGGGTCGACAGCTGGATGGAATGGACTCGGCCTGAGGATAGGTTGAGAATGGTTAATCCAGCCCTGAGCACAGTTTCCCGACAGGAGACATCTCCCGCCACGCAGGGTGCAGTCGCACCTCCACAGATCTCCAGTATCATCTATTGATACTGGTAATGGCTCAGAAGGGCCACCACTTACGGGCTATTCATGCCCGTGCCACCTTTTGGGTGGCTTAATCTTCATCAATCAATCACAGTTTCCCACAGTGAAGCACACGACCCCTGCTAGACCTACCGTGGCTCCGTCACATGATCTTCCCTTAGGATGTAACAAACAATCTTTTTTTTTTTTAATTATTGTCGCCGGAGGCGGCTAGTTTATTGTGCACCCCATACTCATCCTGTGAGCGGTGGGAGGGGGATGTTACAAAAGACACATAAGTCTTAACCAGACTTTTACAGTTTACTGGTGCATCATATAATTAGTTAATAATGACACAATAACACATTTTTCTACTGCACTGTAGTTGCTATTCGACAATATATTCTTGGAGACAAGTCATTTTTCAGTAATTTAAAATAATTTTCAATATTGGATATTACAGCATTATGGGTTACAGAATGATGCATATTATGAATGATGTATATCATGAATGATGTATATCATGAATGATGCACATCATGAATTTGGTGGTTTTGATTCAAGTTTAAGTACGTTTATTAAGACATTAAAATACTTGTCAAAAGGATAGCGTAGCCTAGGCTACTTCCACCCTCCTGACTGGTTCAAGTATGTTTATTGAGACAAGAAAGAAATACATCTCAAAGGGATAGAGTAGCTTAGGCTATTTCTACCCCCCTTCCTACTGACTGGTTTTAGTCTAGAGTTTCTGCGGTGATCTAAACGCGTTGACACTTCGCACACACTTTTGTCCTCTACTACAAGCGTCACCCTCAGCAGTTATTTATTTCCTAGAGACCTGTTAATTACTAGATGAACAGGTACATCTGGTGAAAGGATTCGTGCCTTAACGGCTCGGTCATGTCGCGAAAATCGAACCCGGGATCATTCAGGAGCACTGTTGTAGACCAGATACATATTTATATTCATAATTTGCTTGATAATTTGACACATTAATGTCTTATTTCCTTGAGTTATCTGCTAGTTGTTCTTACATAGCTGTGAGTCTCATGTATCATCATGCAATGGGAAATTTTGACAAAATTTTGATTTCGATTTTATCATCACCTACTGAGTAAATTAGACATATATATTTTCCAATATATCGGAGGAAATAGTTACAAAATTAGCTTCAGATATTGAGTGTCGTTTGGTCTAACGCCATTGACAATTGGGTAGTAGCTAACTAAGATCCAGTAGCACAGTAGACTACGTCCTTGACTCACAACCAAGGCATCCGCGTTCAGTCGCAGACACGCTGAGGCACTTTTCCTTTCACCTGATGTCTCTGTTCTAGCAGTAAATAGATACCAGGGAGCCAGGCAACTGTTGTGGGTTGCACCCTTCGGCTGGTCAGTAGTTAACCTAAGGGAATGAGAACTTCTATGTGCCTAAATACAACCTTCCAATCCTACTTATAACAGGAATTATTAAGGCTGAAAGGATTCTAGTTGACATATGCTGACAATAATAGGCTATACGATCAGCGCAGATAGTCAAATGAGTCTTTAAGTTGTATACCTTACAGTACACGTTTTCACTATGTTGTATTAGTGATAACTAATTAGTATAACTAATACATTATGCTGTTGTTGTTTAAGATTCAGCTACTGGGAACACAAAGTTACAAGCAGCACGGGCTATGGTGATCCCCCGTCCTACAAGCAGCACGGGCTATGGTGAGCCCCCGCCGTACTCACCCGACATCACTTGTAACAATACTTACTTAAGACACCACAACAACATGCTATTCCCGTGGCCACAGTACGCAAGACAAACATTCATTCAACGTTAAATCAATGCTATCAACGTTAAATCAATGCTATCAACGTTAAATCAATGTTAAATCAATGTTTAATCAACGCTATGAACGTTGAATCAACGTCACTGGTGAGTCAGTGACTATTCTGAGTCAATTCTCACAATGTTGAGTCAATGAACACTATTCCGGGTCAATTAACACTATGGTAAGTCAATTAACACTATGGTGAGCCAGTTTACACTATGGTGAGTCAATTACCATAATGGTGAGTCAATAAACATTATGGTGAGTCAAACAACACAATGGTGAGTCAATTGACACAATGGTTAGTGAATAACCATTGAGTCTATTAACAGACTGGTGGGTCAATTAACACTCTAATGAGTCAATTAATACTACGATGAGTAAAATAACACAATGGTGAGTAAGATAACACAATGGTGAGTAAGATAACACAATGGTGAATAAAATAACACAATGGTAAGTCAAATAACACAATGGTGAGTCAAATAACACAATGGTAAGTAAGATAACACAATGGTGAGTAAAATAACACAATGGTAAGTAAGATAACACAATGGTGAGTAAAATAACACAATGGTGTGTAAGATAACACAATGGTGAGTAAGATAACACAATGGTGAGTAAAATAACACAATATTGAGTAAGATAACACAATGGTGAGTAAGATAACACAATGGTGAGTAAGATAACACAATGGTGAGTAAGATAACGCAATGGTGAGTAAAATAACACAATGGTGAGTAAAATAACACAATGGTGAGTAAAATAACACAGTGGTGAGTAAGATAACACAATGGTGAGTAAGATAACACAATAGTGAGTAAGATAACACAATGGTGAGTAAGATAACACAATGGTGAGTAAAATAACACAATGGTGAGTAAGATAACACAATGGTGAGTAAAATAACACTAATGAGTCAATTAATACTACGATGAGTAAAATAACACAATGGTGAGCAAGATAACACAATGGTGAGTAAAAGAACACAATAGTGAGTAAAATAACACAATGGTGAGTAAGATAACACAATGGTGAGTAAGATAACACAATGGTGAGTAAAATAACACAATGGTGAGTAAGATAACAATGGTTAGTAAAATAACACAATGGTGAGTAAGATAACACAATGGTGAGTAAGATAACACAATGGTGAGTAAAATAACACAATGGTGAGTAAGATAACACAATGGTGAGTAAAATAACACAATGGTGAGTAAGATAACACAATGGTGAGTAAAATAACACAGTGGTGAGTAAAATAACACAATGGTGAGTAAAATAACACAATGGTGAGTAAAATAACACAATGGTGAGTAAAATAACACAATGGTGAGTAAGATAACGCAATGGTGAGTAAAATAACAATGGTGAGTAAGATAACGCAATGATGAGTAAAATAACACAATAGTGAGTAAAATAACACAATGGCGAGTAAGATAACGCAATGGTAAGATAACACAATGGTGAGTAAAATAACACAATGGTGAGTCTGCGCACTCAGGTGCTGCGTCGTATATACTAGAATACTAACAAGGTTAAGTGACAGGACGAACAACGCCGTCCGAACAAGCGAACACGTTTGAACAAACGAACAAGTCTGAACAAACGAACAAGTCTGCCGTGAAGGTAGTAATTTACTGTGATGGTGCTCCATATATCTGCGTCACCATTTACGAAACCTGTATATCTTTTCTGAATTATGGCAACTTTGTTTACACTTGTCATAAGGAGGAAAAGAAGGAGAAAACCGAAGAGAAAAAATATGAAAACATTGAAGTAAGAACTATAAAAATAATTTTACAAAAATATAAATTTTAACAATGGTAAATATTAACAATTTATAATAACAACAATACCGTACATTTAGTTATAACTAGAACCAAATTAAAGGACGAGAGAGTGATAAACACTAGTTTATCACTTATACACAAACAGTGGTTGGGGCCTTTTCCTTCAGGGGCATATAACTAGGATTTTAAAAGTTGCTCAATTGCAATCAAACTTTTTTTTGACTTGTTCTATATGAAAAGGGCTGCAATTGTTCCTAGTTTCAATTTCGTAGCCTAAATAGAAAGTGAGATTTTTTTTTGTTTTTTCAACGAAATTTGCACATTTTTAAAAATTGACTACAACGACACGTTTCAAATTCAATCATTTATGTGACACTCTTCTCTCACATTAGCATATAATAAAGAATTGGTATGACCAGATTTTTCGAAATATGTTTAGTTTTACTAATACAAATAGTCAAAGTTCCCCCCAAAATATGCAAATATATCATGTTTATTCCTATTTATAAAATCAATAAATGAACTTAGGAAAAAATACTTCTTACCAATTGTAGAGACATAAACTCTACATATAAGGTGTAAGTTTCATGTTAATTGAATAAAAAAGTGAAAGAGTAGAAGTTACGTTTATGTTACTTGAAAAAAAATTAAAATTGAAGTCCAAGGTGCTGCCATATGTGGCTGAGGTTGACATCAACCAATTTCCTCCAAAATTGGCACCCTTACAGATAGGCTTACGTGCAGTCAGGTGTATAAGTTTCATGCAAATCGCCCGATAAACAAATTAAAAAAATAAAATAATTTTTTTTAACTAATTTTTTTTATAAAACTAATTATTACATTTTTTATTATATGCAATTGTGATAGCTGAGAATCATAGACATGATTTCAGTTGACACTTGTGTTTGATGTTAATTTTTTAACATTTTGGAAAATTGTTGACACATAATTAAATATTTTTTTCTCCCTTCCTATTTATGCTACGATGCTGAAACTCGGACCAGATGAAGCCCTTTTTATATACAACTAATCAAAATAATTTGATTGAAATCGAACTAGTTTTAATTTTTTGCATATTTGAATATTATGCCCCAGCCCCAGCCAGAGGTCGCTGCATGGCGGCCTCCAGTTTGACACAACGGTGGTTGAATTATTTCTTCTCTTCCGACACTTCTCGTCCTTATTTCTGTGTTGACACATAGGGAACTTCACCTGTGGTGGCAAGGGCGTTGGTGGGTGTGGCAGTGGGTGTGGCAGTGGGTGTGGCGGAGGATGTGGCAGTGGGTGTGGCGGAGGATGTGGCAGTGGGTGTGGCAGTGGGTGTGGCGGAGGATGTGGCAGTGGGTGTGGCGGAGGATGTGGCAGTGGGTGTGGCAGTGGGTGTGGCGGAGGATGTGGCAGTGGGTGTGGCAGTGGGTGTGGCGGAGGATGTGGCAGTGGGTGTGGCGGAGGATGTGGCAGTGGGTGTGGCAGTGGGTGTGGTGGAGGATGTGGCAGTGGGTGTGGCAGTGGGTGTGGCGGAGGATGTGGCAGTGGGTGTGGCAGTGGGTGTGGCGGAGGATGTGGCAGTGGGTGTGGCAGTGGGTGTGGCAGTGGGTGTGGCAGTGGGTGTGGCGGAGGATGTGGCAGTGGGTGTGGCAGTGGGTGTGGCGGAGGATGTGGCAGTGGGTGTGGCGGAGGATGTGGCAGTGGGTGTGGCAGTGGGTGTGGCAGTGGGTGTGGTGGAGGATGTGGCAGTGTGTGTGGCAGTGGGTGTGGCGGAGGATGTGGCAGTGGGTGTGGCGGAGGATGTGGCAGTGTGTGTGGCAGTGGGTGTGGCAGTGGGTGTGGCGGAGGATGTGGCAGTGTGTGTGGCAGTGGGTGTGGCAGTGGATGTGGCAGTGGTGTGGCGGAGGATGTGGCAGTGGGTGTGGCGAAGGATGTGGCAGTGGGTGTGGCGGAGGATGTGGCGGAGGATGTGGTGGAGGATGTGGCAGTGGGTGTGGCGGAGGATGTGGCAGTGGTGTGGCGGAGGATGTGGCAGTGGGTGTGGCGGAGGATGTGGCAGTGGTGTGGCGGAGGATGTGGCAGTGGGTGTGGCGGAGGATGTGGCAGTGGGTGTGGCGGAGGATGTGGCAGTGGGTGTGGCGGAGGATGTGGCAGTGGTGTGGCGGAGGATGTGGCAGTGGTGTGGCGGAGGATGTGGCAGTGGGTGTGGCGAAGGATGTGGCAGTGGGTGTGGCGGAGGATGTGGCGGAGGATGTGGTGGAGGATGTGGCAGTGGGTGTGGCGGAGGATGTGGCAGTGGTGTGGCGGAGGATGTGGCAGTGGGTGTGGCGGAGGATGTGGCAGTGGGTGTGGCGGAGGATGTGGCAGTGGGTGTGGCGGAGGATGTGGCAGTGGGTGTGGCGGAGGATGTGGCAGTGGGTGTGGCGGAGGATGTGGCAGTGGGTGTGGCGGAGGATGTGGCAGTGGGTGTGGCGGAGGATGTGGCAGTGGGTGTGGCAGTGGGTGTGGCAGTGGGTGTGGCAGTGGGTGTTGCAGTGGGTGTGGCGGAGGATGTGGTATATTTTTACGTCTTAGCAGCTTTCCAACACCGTAATAACGTCCCTGGTGCCTGGTTGCGTTGGGTGTTTGCAAGGAAGGAAAAGTAGCACTTTGTTTGATCAAGGAACAGTCGCACGTCCGTCCCCAGGAGACCAGTGGAGGAGAAGCTTCCATAAGTCAGGAGGCGCGAGACGGAAGCTGGCCCCTCACTTGCATGGTATAGAAGTAGCTCACACAACTTGGTAGACAAAGATAATTCCACTTTTATCACAGAAGTAGTTAGGCACCATCTTCCTCACCACCTGTATACAAAAAAAAATATACTTGTAAACACCAGATTAAGTCTTTTGGCAACAAATCTCATTACTGTGGAGTCTACTTTTGTCTAAAAACCCCATAGAGTTGACGCATATTTAAGTCGGGATTTAGACCTCTGGGCCAGGTACTGAAACCGCTTACATTATTAAATGGAATGTTTTCTCACTAATATTTCACATCCTGGCACCCTCGATTACTGCTGGGGTGCCTAGCGGCAAACAGTGCAAAGAGAGGTGCCCAATCGTTCCTCCCTGCCCAGGACTTACGAATTCGTGAACTTTGGATAGGTGAATATGTGTGACTAATGAGATTAGCAGTTGGCTTCACCCGGGAAGAGTAGCGATACGGGATACTGTTTTGTTTGTGTGTGTCGAGGTTAAAGAGACGGTATCTGTGGGATTATCCTATGTTTAGCTGCCAGACAAGGGCGCCGAATAGAGAGGAGAGCGACAGGTGCAGAGTTCCTTCCATTCCGTCAATGTCTATCTTAAGATTGTCTACTAAGACAATTCTTTTGTTCCTCTCTCTCTCTCTCTCTCTCTCTCTCTCTCTCTCTCTCTCTCTCTCTCTCTCTCTCTCTCTCTCTCTCTCTCTCTCTCTCTCTCTCTCTCTCTCTCTCTCTCTCTCTCTCTCTCACCCTTTCTCCCTATCTGTTTCCCTTTACCCTTTATTCTCCCGCCCTCACCCTTCCTTCCTTCCTTCCTTCCTTCCTTCCTTCCTTCCTTCCTTCCTTCCTTCCTTCCTTCCTTCCTTCCTTCCTGCCACACTCACCTTGTGCCATTGTCCGCTCTTCTCCAAGAGATTCATGCGTGTCTCCAGGCGCCCTCTGTACTCCTCAACGTTGTCCAGGTACTCCTGCCGCATCACCACCACCACCAGGCCTCCTGCAGGCACGCCAACACCACCATGTAAAATGAGTTGGTAATAATTATTGCTATATACAACCAGTGACGTGAACAAAAGAGGTCTTAACCGTATAGTGTCGACCCACTGAACTGACTGGTAACCAAGATGTAATCATTTTAACTGAATGAAAGAGACTAGATCCCCCTAACTGACTTGACATATAGTCCGGATACCTTCTCAACGACGGGTTTTGATGCTCTTACCTGGCTTGACGAAGGATATCATGTCATCGATGCCTTGTACAGGGATGTGCCCCTCTCCCATCCCTCCTACGTTCACCACTACGTCGAACGCCGCTGTCAGAATCAAAAATTTATTTAATTTTACTATATGTACAAGAATGTAAGAACTCTTGTATATATATATACAAAAGTATTACAGTCATACTCTACCTACAGTAAGCAAACTTGGGATACTTGTCTAAGTTTTCTGGTAATATATTATTTTTAATGACTTACCCATTCTTTGAACATTTGTAATATAATTATTTTATATTCTTGAACTTTTCATATTCAATCACATAGTGACGCAAGATATGTGAATAGTTCTGCTGACAGAATTAACATCTGATGAGTTCTACGTCAGCAGGTGGTGTTTTACAGTAGTTACTGCTACAAATATATTCTATTATCCATTCTCTCTTACTCTTCATTTGTTTTTATTTAACAAAGAAAATGGTGCATTTCGAACCATGTGATGGAGATACTGTATTAGAAATTGGATTTGTTGAAAAAATCTTTCAACAAATACAACTTGTGTATATTTTTAAATAAAATTATTATTATTATTATTATTGAGAAACTTACTTCATTCCCGTAGTGCTTGAATGAAGCTGAAGGAAAGATTCCTTCACCTTCATTATTATTAGTATTATTCCCTATGTAATGACTGTGTATAAGATAGTAGCAATCCTATATGCTGGCCATGCTGAATGCTGTACAGACACAGCATTCAGCAAGGTCATATTATTTCAATCTCAAGCCTTCAAGAAAAAACACATTTTATAAATATAACATTAATATTCCTTGCAACAGGTGTGAACTGCAAATCAATTCTTCCCAAGGAGGCATGTGAGTGACATTAAGATTTGGCCAGACTGCTTCGTTGTGTTGGCTCACCTTTGGGGATGGAGGAGTCACCGTGGCCGAGGAAGTCCTTGTAGGCTTTGGAGTAGACGCCGGTGTTGGAGAGTATCTCCAACATACCCGAAGATGGCTCCACCGCCTCCACCCACCTGTCGCAAACTCCTGTTAAGTTCTCCCACCATATCTCCCTCCATATCTCTCTCTCTCTCTCTCTCTCTCTCTCTCTCTCTCTCTCTCTCTCTCTCTCTCTTCCTGTCATCTCTTCCTATATTTATATGGAAGGCTTGAACTTAGGCTTACTTAGGCTTGAACTCACGCGACCTCAAGATGCACTACTTGGCCTAGTAAGCAAGGCCCAATTTGGCTAACAGGCAGATTGGTTTTCATTATTTTCAAATATTTATTTTCAAATTAGTTTATTTTAATTAATATTATTATATTATATCAAGAACATGCATTACTGACTTAGTTATGTTAGGATAGGTTAGGTTAAGATAGGTTTGGTAAATTTTCAATGTTAAACTAAAAAAAAACTAGAATCATACATAATATAATGAAGGTCATCCCTAATGAAGGGTTAACTAATTAATAAAAGGTTAAATAACCCATACAAAGGCGTAAACAATGGCTTACAAAGGGTATACTTAAAGCTATTAATACAAAACATGACCTTGAGAAGAAGTATAGGTAAGAAGTCGTCTCCAAAGAATTTTCAAAGATTTACTCATCATTACTGTCTAAAATAATTAGGAGAGCCAAAATAAAATGCAACGAAAATAAATTTACCCAAATTAAGTGCAACATTAAGAAAACATGGAGCACTATTTCCCAAATATTAGGATCAAAAAAATTTTTGAATAAAAAACAATACTCTTATCCAATGACGATTATGTGCTTTCAGTCTCTGACACTGCTATTGAATTCAATAAGTTCTTCCCATCCTTGGCACATCCCTTGCTAATGATATTCCGTCCTCCCTGATTAATGTACCTTACAGGAAACTATCCAGAGTCTCTGTACCTAACTCCCGCTAATTTCACTGATGTAAATGAGATAATCCTTTCTCTTAAAACTAAGACAATTGCCCTTGCTGAGATACCATCTCTAATTTACAAAAAAGCCTTCAGATTTCTAGCTCCTGCCATTGCATTGCTCTTTAACAAATCAATTGAACTCCAAACGTTTCCGGCTATTCTAAAAAAGAAGAGAGTAACCCCTGTCCACAAATGTGGTGATCTCACTGATGTCAACAACTTCAGACCTATATCAATTCTGCCAAACTTGTCAAAAATATTTGAAAAGCTAATCTAAAAGCAGATTTACTCTTTTCTAGCCAAACACAATATACTTAGCTCCTACCAATATGGCTTCAGACCCCCAAAAAGCACTAACGATGCACTGATTAGTATGATTAACTTGATACGTGCAGCTCTTGATAAAATGAGTTCCCTGTTGGGTTATTTGTGGACCTACGTAAGGCTTTTGACACTGTCAACCACTAAAACCTTCTTCTTAAATTACATCATTATGGAGTCAGAGGTCATTCCCTCCAATACCTTCAGTCCTACCTTACTGACAGGCGCCAGTATGTTTCTGTGAATAATTCCATTACTCCCACCCTACCCATCAACATTGGTGTTCCACAGGGCAACATACTTGGCCCTCTCCTCTTTCTCATCTACATTAATGACCTTCCACGTGCCTCTCAACATCTCAAACCAATTTTATTTGCAGATGGAAACAGGAGGCAGGAGGCCTCTGGGTTTCAATTTGGAAGGTGCCAAGGAGGAGGAAGGAATGAGGAAGATGTGCCAATAGTCAGCAGTGCCAACACTCACGTGAAGCCTCGCTTGTACAATTCGATGCCAACTTTGCCAGTGCCAGCGGCGACGTCAAGGACCCTGACCTCTTCCCTGCGGGTGTCTGGCACCATCTTTGCCACCTCCTCCGCTGCCATCGCTGGCCCCGCGTACGTATTCGAGTTCATCAGCTGCATAAAGACATCTTTCTTAATGTTTATCACAGACTCAGTGGATGAAGGCATCGCTCTGGAGGAGGAGGAGGAGTAGGAAGAGAAGCAGGAGCAGAAGGAGGAACAGGAGGAGCAGGAGAAGAAGCATTCTTCTCAGAATATCACGGGGGTCACACTAACATCATGGAGGGTCACATTATATCCTCACACCGACAACATAACCCAGTTCTATTCACCATTTTATAACCCGGTCTTACCGTCATTCACTTGCCACAGGCCACTCCGTCTTTGCTAGAAAACATAACCAAAGAAACTGAGATAAAGAACGATGAGGTCCTGACCTGCTCGTAGGTTTTGGACCAGGCAGAGTAGATGTCCGCCACCTCGCCGGGGCTCCGCTTCTCCTTGAAGAACAGACTGTTCATATGGAATGCAGCGGTTTGTTCATCAAAATTGTTCTCCATCTGTGATTGGAGGAAGAAAGAAAGAGTAATTAGGAGCTGCTTAACTATGCTTCTCAGCTGTACAGTTATTGAAGGTGGAGAACTCCTCCTAGCACATGCAGGCGATGAGTCACAATAACGTGGCTAAAGTAAGTTGACCAGACCACACACTAGAAGGTGACGGGACGACGACGTTTCGGTCCGTCCTGGACCATTCACAATCGACTTGAGAATGGTCCAGGACGGACCGAAACGTCGTCGTCCCTTCACCTTCTAGTGTGTGTGGTCTGGTCAACTCCTCCTAGCACATCTTCAGCTCTGTACAAACCTTCTACAGATTTCTTAGTGTTTTCTTCACTTGGAAAGGAAATGTAAAAAATGTACTTTCTAAAGATGTTACACCTATATTTGGCCTGACGCGTGTCGCTAAGTTCACACTAGTATCCTCAGAGGCGGTGGGAAAGAGAAGATAAATCGACAAAAAGCAATATATATGGGTCATGTACTGAGAGAGGTCAGCCCGTTCTCGAGAGCGTTCCCAACGTCAAGAAACTGTCGTGCTAAAGTGACCTTATTCTAACTTACCAGGGGACTCAAAACAGAACACAGGAAACATTACGTCAATTTGGCAAGCCGCTTCTATTTTCTAGTAAATCAGTTTTTGACCTTAGTATATCTTGAGGTTATCTACAGATGATTTCGGGGCTTAGCATCCCCTCGGCCCGGTCCTCGACCAAGCCTCCTTTTTGTTACACATCCCCAGGAAGCAGCCCGAAGCAGCTGTCTATCTCCCAGGAACCTATTTACTGCTATTTACCTATTCATCAGGGTGAAAGAAATTATGTCCATTTGTTCCTGCCTCCACCGGGGATCGAACAAATATCTCACTGATATCCCCAGAGTCAGGCTAAATCTGTACAAACACTCCGTGCAAATAAAAGGACCGAGTCTTTGGAACTCCCTCCCTGATGAATTAAAAATGTTCCAACCTACGCCTTGTTTAAAAGTGTACCCAAAAACTCACACTGTTCTTGTAATACTCACTTCCCCAATATTAGTACTTGAGACAAATTAAGTACTTCATCTCTAATTAAGTACTTAATTAAGACAAATTAAGTACTTCACTGGTGATTATCAGTGTAATCACCTTATCAATTTACACTCTTGATATAATACCTTACTACTACAATGGCACGGGAGACATCTCCTGTCACGCAGGGTACAGTCGCACCTCCACAGATCTCCAGTATCAGTTCTTGATACTGGTAATGGCTCAAAAGGGCCACCACTTACGGGCTATTCATGCCCGTGCCACCTTTTGGGTGGCTTAATCTTCATCAATCAATGCTACAATGTATTTTTTTCACCTTCTTCTTCTTGATGGTGCAGTTTGCATGAAGGGTGTATCCTCCCGATGACTGCACCAGTACAAGTGTTGGGAGACACGTTTACGTTGAGAATGATAAGAGTTTCAAAAGTGTTTATTGCGTTGTGCTGGAGCAAGAGGAGCTGTGAGTGCAACACAGGTGTGTCAGAGTGTAACACGGGGAGGGATTTCTCGACTTATCTTTCCTTCTTCTTTTCCCCCTCTACCCGTATTCTTACTTTTTATTCTCTACAAGGGACTCCAAAACTTTTACTAAAGCCGACTCCACGCCACGTGGTCCTAAGACGATTGACCGACTTAGGATTCTACAACCCGTATGACGTGACCTAAGCTCTGAGCAAAACCCTAGAGTCGCCTCCGCCGCCACCACCAGACCAGTAACACAGAGCAATGATCGAGGTCTGGATCGATCATGCTAATTAATCAACCTTGGGGCTTGATCCCCACTAGTAACCGATGAACCAATGGAACCTTAGAGTGTGGAATTAATTACACGGGAATGATGAATTCCGACTCGATGTTAGAATCGGTGCCCAATCCAACTCTGCCTCGTGTGGACCACGTGACCAGGACAAGTTCACATAACTTGAACATACACATGGAAATAATAAAAATGCAAATTATTAACTAATTAATTTATTAAAAGAAAAACTAAAACAAAATCTAAATATGTTCACTCCCTGTCACTTTAACACTCCCTACTTGACCTGAATGGCAATGAGTTGACTATCCCTATAAAAAAACTCATAAAGCAACTCTACCTTGGGCGACCAGCTCTAGATTGATTGATGAAGATTAAGCCACCCAAAAGGTGGCACGGGCATGAATAGCCCGTAAGTGGTGGCCCTTTTAAGCCATTACCAGTATCAAGAGCTGATACTGGAAATCTGTGGAGGCAGCTCTAGATGTTGGGGGGCTGGTCTTGGGAGAGAGGTAAGATGGTTGACCTCTCCCAGTTGATCTGGTGTCCACACTGATCTCTCCTCGTCTGGTCTACCCCAGACTAGAGCATTGTATCCTTCCGCATAGTCAACGTTTTACCAAGTTACTAGCAAGGTTTAAGTTATAACAATTAACCTCTGTTTGCACTGAATTGATCCAGACTGGTTGAATTATTTTACTGAAGTTAAATTACACAAGCATCTAACGGCCGAGCTGTTCCCGTTCCCCAAAATGGTTACTTGAGCTTTGAGAAATAGTGGACATCGTCAACTCTGATGACCTATGACCGCCGGTCACTGGCGCCTTACAACTTAGATCCTATTCGTGACGTCACTGATGGTGACTTAACTCAATAATTAGAATACTCTTGATATTGTACCCAGTAATATTATACAATACAATTTTAATACAAAATGAATAAAGGCTAATTTCTCTAACTTACTGAATACTATAGGATGATTCATTATACGCAGCTATGAACAAGGCGTCGATTATTTTCACCGCGAATTCCCCTGGGGTCAGGTCCCGGGTCACCACGCGGGCTCAGCTTCCCATTCTCTTTTGTCGATAAACCACTCTGGATAATTCTTACAACCAGCCTAGTTTGTTACAAGAGGGAGACGTGCCCATCTGTTATGCTTATGGCATCAGCTGATCCTTGGTGCTGCGGCGAGGCAGTTTCAGTTTTTTTAATTTTGCCTCGAGGGACGAGTTTATTGGGTAGCGTCACTCATCCTGTGAGTGGACACACCGCCATAGTGACAGTATTGGGTAGCGCCACTCATCCTGTGAGTGGACACACCGCCATAGTGACAGTATTGGGCAGTGGCACTCATCCTGTGAGTGGACACACCGCCATAGCAGCATGTACAACACTCCCCAATGGGAAGAAAACCCGCTGGGTTGTTCATCCTGTCACTTGTACCCAGACACAGCTGGGACTGGCTTATCTGTCTCAAGTAAACAGCTTATCAAACAAGAAGATTAACATTTGTCAACCTTTAAGTACTTACTTTATCTTGCGGGTGTAAAATGTGTGAATTTGTTAAGAACAGCATCTATATTTGACAATATTTTCCTACCTCAATCAATGTGGGGTTTATCATTCTACACATATTCCTAATGACCCGTAGATGTTCACATTCTCTCAGGTAGTGGTCAAGGCGGTGTCCATCATTCTCACCACACATTCTGCAACTCCTTTGCTCAACTGTTGTTTCCATTCCGAATCACCATGGATATTTGTATCCAAGACGGATTCTGCGAGGCAGTTGCCTTCTGTGTTTGGCTGTTGGCGGCGCCAGGTATAAATGTGGCGCGGGTCAAATATGCCCCAATTTGTTCGTCGACTAGATATTAATCGACTATTAATTATCGACTAGAAAAAATTGAACTAGATTTAGCCAGTACTTTGACTATTTGATATTTTCCCTGTAACGAGAGCCCGCCAAACACACCGAAACTACAACGTTGGTACAACGTTCGAACCAGTTTGGACACCTAACCAGTTATAAAAATCAATATAGCAAGTTGTAACAACGTTCTAATACGTCATAAATACGTTAAGCCAAGATGTAACAACTTTATTACAAGTTGTAACAAGCGGAAAATAGAGACAGTTACGGTTTGTGTTTCCATGGAGGTCACCTGTTCCTAACATATGCTCGATGGTAAAGGGTACTTTGAGTGCGATAAATACTTACTTGAAGATTATACTTGGTGAACAAATCCACAAGGGCCGTGACGAGGATTCGAACCTACGTCCGAGAGCATCCCAGACGCTGCCTTAATCGACTGAGCTACGACATGGTAAAAGAATTGTAACCAGAAGTTCTACTGAACTTACTTGGATCCTGCAGCCTCTCCGAGACTGCAGGATCTGAGCTACCATGTCGTAGCTCAGTCGATTAAGGCAGCGTCTGGGATGCTCCCGGACGCAGGTTCAAATCCTCGTCACGGCCCTTGTGGATGTGTTCATTTGATGCATCACGCTATTGTGATTTCTGTGTGTAATTACACTTGGGAGTATTTTTCTTATCAGGCTGTTTATAGGCGATCCAAGGTTCGAGTCAATAGCCTACCACCCACACGATGAGTATGGAGAGTACAATAGCCTACCACCCACACGATGAGTATGGAGAGTACAATAGCCTACCACCCACAGGATGAGTATGGAGAGTACAATAGCCTACCACCCACAGGATGAGTATGGAGAGTACAATAGCCTACCACCCACACGATGAGTATGGAGAGTACAATAGCCTACCACCCACAGGATGAGTATGGAGAGTACAATAGCCTACCACCCACACGATGAGTATGGAGAGTACAATAGCCTACCACCCACACGATGAGTATGGAGAGTACAATAGTCTACCACCCACACGATGAGTATGGAGAGTACAATAGCCTACCACCCACACGATGAGTATGGAGAGTACAATAGCCTACCACCCACAGGATGAGTATGGAGAGTACAATAGCCTACCACCCACACGATGAGTATGGAGAGTACAATAGCCTACCACCCACACGATGAGTATGGAGAGTACAATAGCCTACCACCCACAGGATGAGTATGGAGAGTACAATAGCCTACCACCCACACGATGAGTATGGAGAGTACAATAGCCTACCACCCACACGATGAGTATGGAGAGTACAATAGTCTACCACCCACACGATGAGTATGGAGAGTACAATAGCCTACCACCCACACGATGAGTATGGAGAGTACAATAGTCTACCACCCACACGATGAGTATGGAGAGTACAATAGTCTACCACCCACAGGATGAGTGTACAGTAAATTACCACTCACAGGATGGGTATGCGATGTAGAATAAACCAGGCACCGCTGGCGGCAACAGTGTTTACCTTGCTAGTGGTGTTATCTCTGTGAGAACACAGTTTCCCGCCTTGTTGTATGATTACCTCGACGGCTGCTGGATGTGCTCTGGTGGTGGAGTGCACTGATCCAGGGTTTTATAGTTTTCTCTTACGCGCGTCACGCTCAAAGTCCATAAGGTGATCCCATTTCTATTCCTATTATGATGTTGCCAATTGTAACTCTGCTACAATGGTGCCAGTTGTATCTTCATTAAACCCTTGTTAGTTGGGATAAATAAGATTCATTCGGAATTTTGTGAGGATTTAATTGTCTAAATATATTTGCAGTTTTTTTTCCCCAGCAGGAATTTATTGAACTTACGTTAATTTATTATTATTAATTCAAATTGGATTGTATATTTAATTTTTTTTTTGTTTGCAGGGATATTCCTGCGCGGGCCCTAAGCCTCTGGCTGGCCCACTAAGTGATGCTTGTTTCTGTTTTACTTGGGCGGAGTATGAGTATTTATGACTCGTATGGTCGCTTCAGTAAGATTTTTCCCTATGTGTTTAACAGCTTCCTCTGCTCTGTTGAATCTAAGTTGAAATCTTAATGGGTTTGTAACTGTGCACTGTGTTAGATAATGTTCCAGTGGTCTGTCGGGCATTTCTCCACATTTCCTCTCATCTTCCGGAACCTGTAAGCCTATTTCCCATGCACATGGGTATCCAAGCCTGATGCGATGTAAATGCACTTCTGTTGCTCTACTGTTCCCTTTCATCAAACTAAGTGGTTCGTAATTGGTTGAATTCTTGTACCAACCCGCAGATCCTGATGTTGCAACTGCTGTGTTGTGGTCACTGTACATCTTTTGCATCGCTCTGTTTCTAATTACTTTCTTAATCTGTGATAGACTCTGGTATTTAAATGTCTACATTTCTCCTCTTAGTAGCAAGTTTTGCAGCTTCGTCTGCAATGTCATTTCCTATTATTCCCACATGACTTGGCACCCAGTTGATAAATACCCGACGGCCTTGTCGTTTGAGTGTTTGCATGAATGATATGACATTTGTGATCAGATGGATGTTTGTGATCAGATTGAGTATGTAATGTTATCAGCACCTGGTGCAGTGCTGATAACCTTTTTGGCTCTGATTAGTTCTTGTGTGGTGAAGGGACAGTCACATTCGTCATTTATAGCTATGCTCTCATGAATGACTGTCAACCTCTCTTGTTTTAATTGTTCTTGCTGCCTTCTGACCATTGTAGGAAGCTGATATGAAGCTGTTCTTTCTGCAAATTGGAGAGCAAGTCTCTCAGCCTCCTGCAATGGTTGAATACATGCCTGTGGCCGGGCTGGTCGACCTGATATAGTTTTAATCTGACCCCATATCTTGCCAAGACTACTATGTTCATTTAGAGTTTGACACCACTCAAACCATCTTGCCTCCTTTACTTCTCGAGAAACTCGCCTTGCTTCAGATATCACCGCTCGTAGCAGAGTTCTTCCTTCTGGTGTGGGGTTTCTCTTTAGATGTTTTCTGAAGATATTGACTCTGTGGTTCTGTTCTTTAACTTCATTACTATAGAACCAATAGTTCTTTCGTTTTGTGTTTCCTGTGATAATGATTGGAATAGCTTTGTTTGCAGCAGCTGCAATGGCTTCCTGCAGATTGGTCTCGTGTATGTTCAAATCCTCAGGTGGCGTGTACGTTGCATAACATTTTTCAAGTTCTTCTTGGTATATATTCCAATTGGCCTTTCTTAAATTCCACCTAGGTTGTGCAGGTGGTGTAGGAGGTCGTGCCAGGTTTAGTGTCGTGACAGTAGCATAGTGGTCACTGGTGATCACCGGGTCTACTTCCCACTTCGCCCGTTGCTGGAGTGCTGTTGAGATGAATGTAAGATCAAGGGAACCTCCTAGAATGTGAGTGGGTTCCCCAGTGTTGAGAAGTGTAATTTCAGGTACTTCTCGCAGAGCTGCAGCTAAATGGCGCCCATCTGCATTGGCTGGCCCAGTTGCACCTAACTCTTGATGATGAGCATTAAAATCCCCAGCAATAATTACATTTTCCTGCGTGGCCAAGGTAAGCACTGCCTCTGCTTCTAGTTTACGTCTAGGGGGCTTGTAGACGTTGTATATGAGAAGCTCAATATTAGCCATATTCACTGTTACTGCTAATACCTCTACTCCATCCCCACATGAAACTGAGTCCATTGTCTTGCTGGGTATGGTGTTTCTGACTAGGGTCATTAACCCTCTTTGTCTCCCCTGCTCATACGGTATAACATAGTACTGATATCCAGCTAATCTGAAGGATTTCGTGGCTGGGAAAAGAGTTTCTTCCAAAACGATTATATCTGCTTTCGTGCTAATTGCAGCCTCCTGAAGTGTGTGGTTTTTATTTCCAGGACCTTGTATGTTCCACTGCAGTATTCGTAATGGCCAGACGACGGTTACGGTTGGTGTTGCTTGTTCTACCAGAACTCCTCTTCGGAATCGACCTCTATTTTCTCAACCTTGCAAGTCGTGTCGCTGTAAATCGGACTGAACTGATTGCTCGTGGTCATCCCCGGCGTTGTTGGAATCTGTGCATAACTGTGGTCCATCACTTTATTGTTGGTATTGCTGCATGTCGGACTGCATTGATTGCTCGTGGCTGTTTCTTGTGTTGTTGGAACCTGTGCATCTCTGCTGTTCAATACGTCTTTGTTGGTGTTGTTGCATATCAGACTGCATTGGCTGTTGTTGTCTGTCTCTTGTGTTGTAAGATTCTGTTGATCTTGGGTGGTCACTGCTTCTTGCAGTTGCTTTTGTAAATGTTGATGTTCTGGTGTCTAGACTACCCGACTGTTGTTGGTAGTCTGTATGTCCATGTTGCGTTGGTTGTCCTCTTGTGCTCCATCTTGTCTCAGACTGTCTATTTCTTGTGCAACTGTGGTCTGCTGCACGATCTTGTCCATTATCACACAAGTGATTTCTTGAGTCTGTTGCTGTGAGACGTTCTGCGTCATCTGTAGGCAATTGATAATGGTCTCTGCCATGATCTTCACGATGTTTTTCAGCTGGACCTCGGGGGTTTGATACCTGGTTGATACCTGGTTGATGGGGTTCTGGGAGTTCTTCTACTCCCCAAGCCCGGCCCGAGGCCAGGCTCGACTTGTGAGAGTTTGGTCCACCAGGCTGTTGCTTGGAGCGGCCCGCAGGCCCACATACCCACCAGGTGTAAAGGGGTAAAACTGTATATCTGTTGTGTTGATTCCGAAAGTAATTGTTTTTTGCTCTTTTGCATTTGCTGTATTTCTGCAGCACTTTTGTGTATTTTCTGATTTGGAATTAATAGATTCGGGAAATTTTGCTCTGTGAGAGTGTGTGTGTGTTGTGGCTGTGTACGAGTGTTCCAGACGTTGGTGTTGGTGTATGTGGTGCTGGTCTGTGTGTTTATCCTGGCCTGAGCTGTCTGCACTTTTTCTTTCCGTGCAGAGCAGGTTGTGCTCCAGGCATGATGTTTGCCTCCACAATTTGGACATTTGGCTGTTGTGGTCTGGTTTGCCTTGTGTTTGGCTATACAGTCTTTGGTTGGATGTCTCAGGCTGCACACTCCGCACCTCTCCTGTCCTGTGCAGCGTGACTGATGGTGGCCGTATTTCTGACACCTGAAGCAGCGTAGGGGTTCCGGGACGTATGGCCTCTGTCGTTATGTCCCCCAATTTCCAAGACTGAATGTTTCTGGCACATGTCCCATGACGGTCACCAGAACCTGACGCGTCGCTGCCTTGTCTACTTTTGTGTGGCAACGTTCCGTACTCAGGACTTGCTTGTGTTCTAGTACTGTATCCAGGGGAAAGTCGATTGGGTATCCCAAAAGCACGACTCGTGTGCGTCTTTCTGAAGGGTCCAGCTTTACCAAGCACACAGGTTTCCCCTGCAGGACTCTTACTTTTTCTAAGTAATTTGCAGTCTGTTGGTCTTGTGGTGTCATTATTATTTCTCCTTTCAGGTTGACTGTGATGGAAAGTTTGAGCTCTGGTTGTTCTTTTTCCATTGCCGTTACTACTCCATATGCTGTAGGAAAGTGGTCTGTCTGCATTATCTTGAATTTTGGAAGATGTGCAGAGTGACACTGGCTGGTGTGAGACTGGTGGTGTCCTCTCCTGTCTCATACTGTTGTCCTGTGGCTGGGCTGTGGAGAGAGGTACATTGTCTGACACTGGCTGGTGTGTGACTGATGCTGTCTTCTCTGGGTCCATTACGTCTGCTGTCTTGCTGGTACAAGCAAGTGGTAAAGCCTCGATAGCAGTTTTCTTCGGTGCCTGCTGCACATCGGTCCACCGTTCCTCCTCGTCTGAAAGCTGCCTCCATTTTCTCTTTCTCTTAGCCTTCCCCATGACTCTCCACGTAGTGAGAACCAAATCACTGCCCTACCTAATGCCTGAGACACTCCTAGGTCTGGAGAAATTCATTCCCCTCCAACGGAGGTCGTAGAATGATTCCCCCAGGTGGAATCAGGGATACCTAACACCTAAAAGAGCTGTTTGGTCTACCTTTCCCTGTCAGGCTCAGTACACCTTCTAAGGTGCCCCCTTGTGGCACTGCCCGCAGGGTATCGCCTCGCCCTTCAGGGTAGGACTCTAAGTGACCTGGTCAGTGATACGGTCCTCAAAAAAAAAAAAAAAAAAAAAAGTGCGGTACGAGAGTTTGGGTCGCCTGCGTACTGGGTTGCGCAGAATACCAGTCAGCTGGACAGCAGGTAATCAACAACGTTGTTTCTCTGTCAATTGTAGACGAAATCGGAATTGTTTCCTTCAAAACAAGATATTGTCTGGGTCTTGGAGTACTTATGTATTCTTCCTCACAAAATCGCGACGAATGGAGCTGATGGGTGCTCAGAATCGTGAGTTTTTCCGGGAACAAATCCGTGTGCGGCCAGCTAGCAATGGCGCCGGCAGCGAGTGATTTAAAAGTTATCCTAGATGTTTCCCTATATACAAGTTGGGGGGGGGGAGGAGTTATATACATAACCTATACCATAAATTATGCATATTAAATTAGCTACAAAATTATTGTGTTAGTACTATTGCTAAAATGGGTTAGCTAAGGCGCAACCATGTTATAGCTATTAAGTTGTTATAGCCTGTCCTCCAACATCAAACCTTGCTGACCAAACCACACACTAGAAATTGAAGAGACGACGACGTTTCGGTCCGTCCTGGACCATTGTGTCAAGTCATACACAATCGACTTGAGAATGGTCCAGGACGGACCGAAACGTCGTAGTCTCTTCAATTTCTAGTGTGTGGTCTGGTCAACATTTTTTCAGCCACGTTATTGTGACTCTTCATCTGCATCAGACTTTAATCTGTCCTGGACATGTATTAATGGCGACCCTGTGGTCGCGTGTTCGAGCAAGTATGGTGTCTGGACATGATCATATTGGTCTAATCAGCGCGCTGTGATTTCAATTCGTCACAGGTTACCTCCAAATATAGCGGACCTCACGAGGGAGCCTCTTGTTTACACAGTCTGGGAGCCTCCTGTTTACACACAATTAATCTCGGAGCCTCTAGTTTACACAATCTCGGAGCCTCTAGTTTACACAATCTCGGAGCCTCTAGTTTACACAATCTCGGAGCCTCTAGTTTACACAATCTCGGAGCCTCTAGTCTACACAATCTCGGAGCCTCTAGTTTACACAATCTCGGAGCCTCTAGTTTACACAATCTCGGAGCCTCTAGTTTACACAATCTCGGAGCCTCTAGTTTACACAATCTCGGAGCCTCTAGTTTACACAATCTCGGAGCCTCTAGTTTACACAATCTCGGAGCCTCTAGTTTACACAATCTCGGAGCCTCTAGTTTACACAATCTCGGAGCCTCTAGTCTACACAATCTCGGAGCCTCTAGTTTACACAATCTCGGAGCCTCTAGTTTACACAATCTCGGAGCCTCTAGTTTACACAATCTCGGAGCCTCTAGTTTACACAATCTGGGAGCCTCTAGTTTACACAATCTCGGAGCCTCTAGTTTACACAATCTCGGAGCCTCTAGTTTACACAATCTCAGAGCCTCTAGTTTACACAATCTCGGAGCCTCTAGTTTACACAATCTCGGAGCCTCTAGTTTACACAATCTCGGAGCCTCTAGTTTACACAATCTCGGAGCCTCTAGTTTACACAATCTGGGAGCCTCTAGTTTACACAATCTCGGAGCCTCTAGTTTACACAATCTCGGAGCCTCTAGTTTACACAATCTCGGAGCCTCTAGTTTACACAATCTGGGAGCCTCTAGTCTACACAATCTCGGAGCCTCTAGTTTACACAATCTCGGAGCCTCTAGTTTACACAATCTGGGAGCCTCTAGTTTACACAATCTCGGAGCCTCTAGTTTACACAATCTCGGAGCCTCTAGTTTACACAATCTCGGAGCCTCTAGTTTACACAATCTCGGAGCCTCTAGTTTACACAATCTGGGAGCCTCTAGTTTACACAATCTCGGAGCCTCTAGTTTACACAATCTGGGAGCCTCTAGTTTACACAATCTCGGAGCCTCTAGTTTACACAATCTGGGAGCCTCTAGTTTACACAATCTCGGAGCCTCTAGTTTACACAATCTGGGAGCCTCTAGTTTACACAATCTCGGAGCCTCTAGTTTACACAATCTGGGAGCCTCTAGTTTACACAATCTCGGAGCCTCTAGTTTACACAATCTGGGAGCCTCTAGTTTACACAATCTGGGAGCCTCTAGTCTACACAATCTGGGAGCCTCCTCTTTCTACACAATCTGGGAGCCTCCTCTTTCTACACAATCTGGGAGCCTCCTCTTTCTACACAATCTGGGAGCCAGGCTCCCAGTCTCGTAAAATAGTTCTATTTCTGTCTTTTATCGACAGTGGGAGGAAATCTTTCACTTTATGGTACATTTCATTAAGTTATAATCACAGAGAATACTTTTCTGACCAATTGTCATCACGAGATTGTTGTTTTAAGGATGTGTCGAGTTAAACTATTATTTTGATGACGTCACGGATCATCCGTCCTCTATAATCCTTTTATGACTAACTAATCTAACTCGTATAACCATGTTTGCTGGTTATATTGGGCGTTAGTAATCTAGTAGTGTCGAAATTTCCGACAATATTACCGACTTTCAGCAAGTGTAATATGAGTTTTATTTTAAAATTAGCATAACTAATCAGGTGAACTTTGAAGCCACTAATGTTAACATATTGACATTGTCAACACATTAGATCAAATGTAAACAAGATCAAATGTAAACAATCCCCTGAATTTACCTGGGGGGGGCACCATCTCTAGTGGTCTTGATGGTGACCGGAAGATAGAGGGTTGTCAAAGGTACCCCCATTATTCCTAAGGATTTTTTGCAGATAAATTTTGAGCTGCAGTAATGTATTGGCAATTACGGGTTAGCGATTACATGGGTGAGAAATCCTTTCTTGTTTCTGTCCTACACGGTGCCTTGTTGAGCTTGAAGCTCCTGCGCCTTGTAGCCTGCGCCTTGTAGCCTGCGCCTTGTATGTGTTACATGTGATATTTTTAAAGAAGTGGTCGGGATTACTATCCTCCAACTTGTTCAGTATTTTAAACGTCTCTTCGTGAGGTCAGCCTTGTCTTATCTGGTTCGTAGTGGTGTTAGTCCTGTGACAGTCAATCGTTTCTGGTATGAGTCGACATAGTTACAGAATGACTTTTGTGGCAGATAAATTGGTTTCAAGGTCAAGTACCCCTTGCTTGGTCAGCGTAGCACAGATGGAGGCGCATCACACACGTCTGCACTTAAATAACCATTATTCACTTTGTTTAATTCTTCATTGTTTGTTGCAGTCAAGGTCTATTTTATATAGTGTCGCGCCACCTGCTCTTGTTGTTCTTCATTTATTTATTTATTATACAAGACTTTTTACATGCTTGTAAGGCCACTAGCACGGATAGCGTTTCGGGCAGGTCCTAATTTTTACACACACACACACACACACCCAGGAAGCAGCCCGTAACAGCTGTTTAATACCCAGGTACTTATTTACTGCTAGCTGAGCAGGTACATCAGCGTGAAAGAAAATACCCATTCGTTTCCGCCGGGGATAGAACCCGGATCCTTAGGACCACGAACCCCGAGCGCTGTTCACTCAGCCGTCACATCCCTAAAAAAGTTGGTGATACCCTGGAGGATGGAATTCCTTTTCAGTTATGTCTTCTCGTCTCATGTTCCGCTGATTCTAATGTCTGGATTGTTAACCAAAGTGAAGGCACACAATGCGTTTAATTTATTTACTAGACTTCTAGCATTGGTGCAGGCGATGAGTCACAATAACGTGGCTGAAGTAGTTTGCCTAGACCACATACTAGAAGGTGAAGGGACGACGACGTTTCGGTCCGTCCTGGACCATTCTCAAGTCACAATCGACTCAAGAATGGTTCAGGACGGACCGAAACGTCGTCGTCCCTTCACCTTCTAATGTGTGGTCTGGTCAACATCATTCTAGCATTGGCGTTGAGGCAATGTTAACTGCTGACATTCTTCCTAAGGGCTCGAGAGATTGGTTCAGTACACTATTGTTCTAGATACTGTACTCACCTATTTGTGCTTGCGGGGGTTGAGCTCCGGCTCTTTGGTCCCGTGCCGTGCTTGACGGTAAAGATGCACAGGCTTACTTCTGCCTCGGTGAGTAGGGCACTTTAGAACACTCAGCCATTACAATAGTTTGTGCTGGGCGAAGACACGTTCTAATTAAGGTTTAAAGACACTTCAGAATATATGGACTTTAAAAAGTGAAATGAACATTTTAATATGATAATTTAGCCATCTCCCACCCACAACGCCCACTGACTGCCATCTCCCACCCACAACGCCCACTGACTGCCATCTCCCACCCACAACGCCCACTGACTGCCATCTCCCACCCACAACGCCCACTGACTGCCATCTCCCACCCACAACACCCACTGACTGCCATCTCCCACCCACAACGCCCACTGACTGCCATCTCCCACCCACAACGCCCACTGACTGCCATCTCCCACCCACAACGCCCACTGACTGCCATCTCCCACCCACAACGCCCACTGACTGCCATCTCCCACCCACAACGCCCACTGACTCCCATCTCCCACCCACAACGCCCACTGACTGCCATCTCCCACCCACAACGCCCACTGACTCCCATCTCCCACCCACAACGCCCACTGACTGCCATCTCCCACCCACAACCCCCACTGACTCCCATCTCCCACTGACTGCCAACTCTAACCTGCTCTATTGAAAAAGTTGGTGAATATACTTACAAATTCAGCCATTGGATGAGATACAAGAAGAGTGACGAGCTCACTATGCCTCCTCAAAGTACGTATATTATTATCCCAAAATAGCACTCGGCCAATATTACAATATTCTACGTCTCAAAGCAGGAACTAGTGTGACGTGAAACTATATAACAGCATGATGAAACCGGACTCTTATTTTGTATTTAATTTTAAACACATACTGTGTTACACGTTTCTTCCTCTTGTGATTCATATACCAACATATGTCCACCTCTGGAGGGTTATTAAGGCCACAACAACAGGTTAATGACCAATTATCAAGCGTGTTGTTGTCCAGGATATAACCCCAGATTAACAGACTCTTGGTGAACCGGCACCAAGGTCGAGTAGGTGTTGTGAGTGTAACAAACTAGGCTGTTGTAAGAATTATTCCAGAAGGTTCCAGAAGTTCGAGTAGGGACCTGACCTCTCAACAACGCCCAGTCCCCTGGGAATTAGCAGGTCTGAGTCACAAATGGCGGGCATCTTTGTTCATAGCTGCGTATAATGAACCATCCTATAGTATTCAGTAATTTAGAGAAATTAGCCTTTATTCATCTTGCATTAAAATTGTATTGTATAATAGTACTGGATACAATATCAAGAGTATTCTAATTATTGAGTTTAAGTTACCATCAGTGACGTCACGAATCAGATCTAACTTTTAAGGCGGAGTGACCGGCGGTCATAGGTCAGCAGGGTTGACATGTCTAATATTTCTCAAAGTTTTAATAACCATTTTTGTGATCGGGAACAGCTTTGCCGTTAGATGTTTGTGTAATCTAATTAAAGTAAAATAATTCAACCAGTCTGGATCAATTCAGTATAAACAGAGGATAATTGTTATAACTTAACCTTGCTAAAGTAACTGGGTAAGCGAGGCGGAAGGATACAATACTCTGTCTGGGGTAGTCCAGACAAGAAAAAAATCAGTGTGAATACGGGAGCAACTGGGAGAGGTCAAACATCTTACCTCTCCCCAAGACCAGCACAACACCCAGAGCTGGTCGCCCAAGGTATAATTGCTATTGTAATTATAGGGATAGTCTTCTCATTTGCCATTCAGGTCAAGTAGGGAGTGTTAAAGTGATAGGGAGTGAACATATTTAGATTTTGTTTTAGTTTTCTTTTAATAAATTAAATTTGTTATTAATTTGCATTTTATTGTTTCCATGTGTTTTATGTGTATACTTGTCCTGGTCACGTGGTCCACACGAGGCAGAGTTGCATTGGGCGCCGATTCTAACATCGAATCGGAATTATCATTACCGTGTAATTTATTCCACACTCAAGGTCATCGTTTATAGTGGGGATCAAGCCCCTAGGTTGATTAATTAGCGTGATCGATCCAGACCTCGATCATTGCTCTTGTATTACTGGTCTGGTGGTGGCAGCAGAGGTGACTCTAGGGTTTTGTTCAGAGCTTAGGTCACGTCATACTGGGTGTAGAATCCTAAGTCGGTCAATCGACTTAGGACCACGTGGCGTGGAGTTGGGCTTTGTTAAAAGTTTTGGAGTCCCTTGGTTTAGAAAAAAAAGTAAGAATACGGGTAGAGGGAGTAGAAAGAAGGAAGTAAAGAGTGAGAGGAACCAAACCCCGTGTTACATGAGCGTGTTAACTTCAAACGAGAAAGTGTAATGTCTAGCATTTCCTTGTGTTTAGCAGTTAGGACTTTGGAATTTGATCATAAGTGTTGATACTGTCTTTATTTAATTCCAAAACCGGTGCTTGGATATGTATGTATGTACGTTATACCTAGAAATAATCCTCAAATTTTACTATAATGTACATACTATTCTACTATTCTTCGTCACATATTCTTGAAATGTACCTGTTAACATTTCTCTATTTTGCTAGAAATGGCCTACTTAAATTATCTGTTGGATTAAGGACTTGCCCGAAACACTATGCGTGTTAGTGGCTTTACAAGAATGTAAAAACATTAATGCTATCTATGTACTCTCATAAACCCAATTTTCCTTCTTGGATGTTATCTGCCATCTGATGGCAGATAACATCCAATGCCAAAGATAATGCCATCTGCCATTATGAGGAACTCTCATAAATCCAATTTTCCTTGTTGGATATATATATATATATATATATATATATATATATATATATATATATATATATATATATATATATATATATATATATATATATATATATATATATATATATATATGACCGAAAGGGTAAGTTAGATTAATAATTCTAACACGAACCTTCTCAATATTTCTAACGTTTTTTCTTTCTTGTCGAGGGTAAGTGAAAAATTAACTCTCCAAAGTTCATTTTTTACATTATTATTTATGGTCTGACGCCTAGAAGCGTTTTGCAAGACTTCTCACACTTTCAAAGACTGATTTTTATGTACTCCGTTTCATGCTTACATTTGTTTTTGGGTGAGGTGACAGGAAACAAATCAATGGGGGGAAAGACTGAACACGAAACAATGGGTATAAATGTGGTATAAAACCAAGGGTATACATTTTATCTGCTTGCTTCAGTGCTGGTTTGTGGTCTTGAAGTGGGTAGACTGTAATTATGTGTTAATTGACTGTTGATTGCTGGATTTGACTTTTTTGATGTGTAGTGCCTCGCTGATGTCGAGTCTCCTGGTAATATTGTATCTGTCGATAAATTCTGTGTTGCTTGTTAATATTTCTCTGGTGATGGTCTAGTTGTGTGAGGAGATTATATGCTCCATGATGGAGCCCTGATGTTTATACATTGTTAATCACCTAGAAAGAGACGTTGTTGTCTTGCCTATGTACTGAGATCTTTGGGTCTGACAGACCCCAAGTGGGCATGTAAAGGCATAGACGACGTCGATTTCTTTCAAGGCGTTCTGTTTAGTGTCTGGGGAGTTCTTCATGAACTCTCCAGACGCCAAATGACCCTTTCGGTCATATTCAACAACATATGTTTACAAGAAAGACTATATATATAATATATATATATATATATATATATATATATATATATATATATATATATATATATATATATATATATATATATATATATATATATATATATATATATATATATATATATATATATAAACTAAAGACTCCACACCCCAGAAGGATTCGAACCCAGACAGCCAGGAGCACTACGCACCATGGCATACCTGGTTCTTTAACCACTAGACCACACGACTCTACAAAAATCTTGGTAGTCGTGAGACAATTTATCCAAGATCCGAGAGCACTCGGTGGCCAACTCGGGCATAGATATATCATCTCATCGCCTCACTTTGTGGGGCCACGCGAACAACACAAATTTGTGTTGCTACAATAGCGTGGGTAATAACATATCATTTCCTTGGCTCTACGGAGGCTGGAACTGGGGCCGGCTACAAAATCTCTTAGACCGTTGTCCTACCAACCACGCCATAGATGCTCACAATAAGGAAGGATACCGGAAATACCTTACTGGTACTCAACTGAGACTTTAAACCTTCGCAGTACTTGGTCAAAAGCTTGAAATCCCAACACGGAAAAAGCTATCACGGTTGAGATAAAGTATATGCAGGTAGAGAGATATGGGCAGCGGGTCGGGGGTTGCTGGTGTGGGTGGGTGGTGGGGGAGGGGTGGGGGGAGGATTCTTGTGGGTGGGGGATAGGGGTGAGGGAGGGTTCTTGTGGGTGGTGGGGGAGGGGTGGGGGGAGGATTCTTGTGGGTGGGGGATAGGGGTGAGGGAGGGTTCTTGTGGGTGGTGGGGGAGGGGTGGGGGGAGGATTCTTGTGGGTGGGGGATAGGGGTGAGGGAGGGTTCTTGTGGGTGGTGGGGGAGGGGTGGGGGGAGGATTCTTGTGGGTGGGGGATAGGGGTGAGGGAGGGTTCTTGTGGGGGGGGGGGGAAATTGCCTAATTTGGGGCTTCCCTGATAAGACACTCGTAAACAAGCGATATCTCTGAGCCTCTTGAAGTAAATAAGTAATTATGAAAAGAAGGCGTCACGCCGGGAAGGCTATGTAGCATCATCAAATGTGCAGAGTAATCAGAGGGCGATAAATATCACCATGGGTGCCAATATGAGAACGCATAAGGTGAACGATCTCAAAAATATCCAATTCACCAAGAATTCTATCGAGGGACAGCTCCTTGTCCTCATATCCCAGCTCCTTGTCCTCATATCCCAACTCCTTGTCCTATCCCAGCTCCTTGTCCTCATATCCCAGTACTTGTTCTCATATCCCAATTCCTTGTCCTATCCCCTTTCCTCGTCCTCATATCCCAGCTCCTTGTCCTCATATCCCAGCTCCTTGTTCTCATATCCCAACTCCTTGTCCTATCCTAGCCCCTTGTCCTCATATCCCAATTCCTTGTCCTATCCCAGCTCCTTGTCCTCATATCCCAGTACTTGTTCTCATATCCCAATTCCTTGTCCTATCCCCTCTCCTCGTCCTCATATCCCAGCTCCTTGTCCTCATATCCCAGCTCCTTGTTCTCATATCCCAACTCCTTGTCCTATCCTAGCCCCTTGTCCTCATATCCCAATTCCTTGTCCTATCCCAGCTCCTTGTCCTCATATCCCAGCTCCTTGTCCTCATCCAAGTGCTACACAGTCACACAGGCTCAGCGCCTACTCATGATAATTCTCTTACTCTACCCTGATATGTTTGTTACAGCACCAAGCCTAAGTGAATTTCCAGGACAATCAATCTAGAAATATATTAAATGCATTGAACAGGGCCAAGATTGACAAATAAGGACTGCTGCATCAAGTGTTCTGCTGCCAATCTTTGCTCTATCCCCGCGAGTCTGCTAGCGAGAGAAGGCGCTGAAGAGGCACATGGCGCCGAAGCAGAGGAGAAGGATGGCCAAGTTCACTGTGAATACACGGAGAAACATCGTGTTGGCCTTCGTTGCTCTTGGGTTGATGAATGCCTGGTTGTAGTAACCAATCCTGCCCACCGGATCTCTTAGATTGCCTGGAACGTGGCTAGAAGGCACTTGTCTGGAAAGCTCGTCGTTCCAGACCATTCCATTACTCTCCTTTCCTTGGCTCGAGGAATTAGCTCTATCCCCCACCGTCCTCCCTTTCACCTGCTGGCCAGGACGTGCATCCCAAGCCACGGCTCCTCTTGCAGGCAGCACCCTCGTCAGTCCCTTCGTCTGCTCCTGCTGGCGGGGCTTCAGGCGCAGGAACTCTATGTACACCAGAGCGACAATCATGGCGAAGTCCTCAGAGATGAGCACGACGAACCAGACGTCGATGAGCTTGAGGTAGGAGGTCTTGGGGATGGACTGGCTCGTCTGGGTGAAGAAGGTCGCCAGCACCAGCAGCGACGTCAGGGACACCATGATGCGGTCCTGCCGGAGGAAGGGAGCAGTTTACTGACCTACCTTGAGGTGCTTCTTCATTCTCACTCAGGTAACTCATTTATTCGCTCACTGATTCACTACCCAACCACTTGGGCTGGACGGTAGAGCAACGGTTTCGCTTCATGCAGGTCGGCGTTCAATCCCCGACCATCCAAATGGTTGGGCACCATTCCTCCCCCCCCCCCACCATGTCCCATCCTTAATCCTTATCCCTTCCAAGTGCTATATAGTCGTGCTGGCTTGGCGCTTTCACCTGATAGTTTCCTTCCTTCACCGATTCACTAAATTCTTAATTGCTTGGCTGATCAATTGGTTAATTAGTAAATTGATTGATTGAATGACCGATTGATTAATTAACCATTAGTG